AAAGGAAAAAAGACCACCTGTCAAACTGCAGAAAATGAATGACCCTGAAAAATTCGAACGACATGCAGCAACAAATCACCCAGGAAGAAAACCAGTCCCCCTCCTAACAAGGTCAAAGAACAATGTGAAACGGCCTCGGAGATCACGCAGAAGAAAAGGTCACATTTACCAGTAGTTAAATTCCTTTCCATCGTTAAAGAAAGAAAGTGGCTGAGCAGAAGAATCAAAGAAGCCTTAAATTTACGAAAATGCCAACCGGGATAAAAAATACGAAATCAGCCTGAATTGAACAAAATTTATCAAGCCTGAGACCAAAAAACTATTTAACCAACAGTTTCGGCCAAATGCATACCTTCGGCACACACGCCCAAAAAGCTCTAGACCACACTTACAACCACAGACTGTATTTGTTGCACATCCAGTGTATCATAGGCAGCACATAGTATAGTCTCTGTCAATGATAGGCATACTGGTCTCACTGAAGGTAATCGCATGCTGGGCAATACTGGAATTTTCAGCCTGTCCAAGGCAGGCCACAGAAACGTGCACTTTTATTCAGATGTCCAATTTTCGAATGGTCTTTACGATGTACACCTTGTCGCAGTCTCTGCGCTCCAATTTGTAAATCACATTTAACACTTCTTTCGGGTTAGTTGACATGTACTTTAAAAACAAAAGACGTAAATTTTTATACTAGCAAGGAAAAAACCGGATGTGCAGCGAATACAGATCTTATGTGGTTATTAGCGAAAGCTGGGGTGCAGTCGCAAAAGTGATTCGCAAAATTAGGCCAATATGAAAAAAATCAGGTCAACATGAAAACATCTGATTGATTTTAATGTGAACATTATACTTTGTTCGCTGGTTAACATTCTGTTCAGTCAGCCTGACAAGGTTTTAACTGTATAGGATGAGCCAGTTGAAAGATTTGTATTTTCCGATTGCTGAAAATAAATGTCTTAAAGCACTCATATGTACACAGTCCAGCCCTGACGATGATAATGATACGGTCTATGCAGCGAAACGTGTTAGCTAAAAATTTTGTACCTTCTGTCGTATTTGATGCCCTGAACCATGAATCATTCAAACGCCTATCGACATAACTATGGGCCAAGAATCAAAAACCTAAAGTATTTATCATGATATTTTATGCACAATTTGAATAGACAGTCAAATTTGCAAATATTATTGCTGCATATTAATTGTATATACTATTTTATATAATTCCTCCGCAAGATGCGGAACCACTCTGTAGTGTAATAGAGAAGCCGCCGAAGAAGAGGTAGATGTGTCCGAGCTCAGAGGGTAAACCCTTGAGAGTGAACAGTGTCACTGAGTCGCTACCTGGAACCCCATACGGCCAGCATGAAAAGCAAGTAGACGTTCTGTCGAAG